TTCGGAGAACAAGAAAAATAGGTTTATTTGTGTTACGCTTATTAATTTGTGCAGTTATTCAGTGTCTGGTAAGTTAATGTTTAAGAAAAAAATATTAATTTTTATTAAAATGTTCTATTATTTTATGTTAATGATTACTCATTTATTTCAGCCCTTTGTATTCAGCATGTCTCTATTGAAATACACCTACATTTCTATGAAAATTGAAGCTTTTGTTCTTTTGCGGGCCACATAAACTTAAACCTTGTTTATTTGGCCCGTGTTAGCCCTTGAGTTTGACATGCTTGCTTCAGAGAGAGCAGAGCTCTTGCACTCCAGGTCTTTCACCAAGTCGACACATCCTCACATTCAAGGGCATGCTTAGGTTTCCTCTACTCCTTAGAGTCACCCCATCAACACCTATTCCTTTTGTTCAGAGGAAATGGCCACTTTATCACTGTAACTTCCCAAGGTTGCACAGCTCCCAAGGGCCAACATGAACATTGAACTTCATGTGTGCCCATCTTCCAAGTCTATCTACACCTCAGCCCCCCGAGGAATTGCCACGTCATTAGCCTTGCACTGACTTGTTTGGTGTGCGCAGCAGGAAATATTTGCTGTTCTGAGGACAATCACGGGGCTACAGAGAAAGGCTCCAAACCTCTGTAAGGGGACCCCACTCCAGGCGGCCGCCAGACTCCACGATGATAAGCCACGTAATGAAATGACCCATATTCAGGACAATGTTGGATTCATACATGAAAGAGAGCAGCCCCATTTTCAAGGCCCATGTCACTCATAAAATAAAATTCTAGTTAACATCAGTTTGTGCTGATTGGGCCTGAGGGGAATGGAACTTACAAATGGGCAGGCAACCAAACATTAGTATAGACTGCTTTATATCTGGCTCTTATCTTCTTTTATATTAAATTCCTATCTTCCCCTCTGGACAGGAAAAAAAATAATAACCCGAAACACAGAAACCCCTGAAGCTGCTTTTTCACAGAAAGCTTGCTTGCTGAATTAAGAAAAAGGCCCACAAATGAGCCAGGGAAAACATTTAACATCTTATACTTACTGTCTGAAGCCCTTAATCCTTATTTAACATCTTTTTGCTTGTTCTACAGTTCAGTGGAGCCAGCTGCTTAGGACTCTTTCTGAGCAGCAGGGAGCTCTTTGAAAACATTCTTGGCCAAATGAAAGCATTTCAGCATGCTCTAATTTGCATGTTCCTCTGATGTTTATGAACAATGAAGTTAAATGACTTGAAAAGGGAAAGATGATTGTTAACACAATCGACCCACTCTCCTCCCAATACTGGTGCCCCTGGGACACTCCACACACAGGCTTCCAGAACCGTCATCTGCTCCTTCATCTTTACATCTCACAGGTCCAGGCTTATATCCAGACACTCAGTATAGAAATATACAGGTTGCAAATGCTAAGTACACAAATCTCTTCTAAATCATGACAGCAAATGTGACCTCCACTTTCAGTGTGAATGTGCACGTGAAGATGGCATCCTCCCAGCCCCTGCACTCTCCCTGGCACACAGACATCCTCATGCCTGCAGTTATATCAGCTGGCTTTCAGGCAACTTTTTAAAAATATATTTTTATTGCTGTCAGAGAGGAAGAGAGAAGGAGAGAGAGATAGAAACATCAATGATGAGAAAGAATCATTGATCGGCTACTTCCTGCACATCCCCTACTGAGGATCAAGCCCACAACCCGGGCATGTCCCCTGACCATGAATTGAACCGTAACCTCCAGGTTCATAGGTCAACATTCCACCACTGAGCAACACCAGCCGGGTTAAGGCAATTCTTTACGTCAAATTTAACTATTGATTTACACAGGTTATTAAAATGATTTTTTAAGACCCATACTTATTCCTTTGTATTCAGAGTAGTTTATTGTTTTCATTGCTTTCAATTCTAGACCAAGTGGCCCAAGAGGCTAAAGACTAATGTTAAATGATACCTCCTGTCTGGAGGACTCTACCATTTTCTTTTCTTTTCTTGGAGTGCTCCTGAACACTACCATTTTCAAAACTTGCTCAAATACATTATTTTATTTGATGTTCACAATAAGCCTGAGTGGGAAGCAGACCAGGGGTAACCTGGTTTTACAGATGAGGAAATTGAGGCTCAGGGGTCATGGGCTACAGGTGGTGGCCCTGGGGCTGGCAGCCAGGCATCTGCGTTCTCGGACAGGTGTACTTTGCACACCGCTTCCGAACAAAATCATGTCCACCTTCTCCATTCTTAATCCAAAATTCCTGGCTTATAGGATGTAGCTAAATGGAATAGGTTCCCCAAAAGCAAATAAATGATTAGAACAAGAGGAATTCTGGATTTTGACTGGTATCTATATTCCTAGATTTTTCTTTCTTTAAATAATGCTTTGATTTAACCCTTGTATTTTAACCAATTTTCAAAATTCTACCATTATTTCAGTAGGGTAGCAACTGTTGAAAAAAATTTCTAGGCCCAAGATGGAGCTGCTCCTGCCAGGGACAGAACTTTCATGTAGGCTCTGCTGGGCCAGAAACACCGTATTTCCAGCCAGCCACTCCCCAACACCAAGCCAGCCCCGAGCTCTATACTTATTTCCTCGTTCCTTAATTTTTCTAAATAAGGTCAGATATGCAACCCCCGCCAATTACACCCTGTTTCCCTCTGGGTCCCACTTCTAACCCTCTGTAACACTCGATCTTGCCCACAGTCCCTCAGGAGGAGTGCTCCGCGCCTGGGAGGCCCTGCACTCCCCTCCATGGGTGGCTTCCCTTGAATAAAGAACCTCACACTCGATACTAGTTGTTTTAGTTTTGTTGTTTGACACAACCTTCTAAAAAGTCTGATGATTCCCCTTAGCCTATAGGCCAGTGATGACACTCGAACTCATTTTTTTGGTTGATTTTTCTTTGTTAAATGGCATTTAAATATATAAAATAAATATCAAAAATATAAGTCTTTGTTTTACTATGGTTGCAAATATCAAAAAATTTCTATATGTGACACAGCACCAGAGTTAAGTTAGGGTTTTTCAAAATGCTGACACGCCGAGCTCAAAAGGTTCACCATCACTGTCCTAGGGTAAGACTTCCCTAGGTAACAATATTGCATAGGTAGCACTTAAGAGGCACCTTAAAATATTAACTAATTAGTTAATTAATTCTTCATAGGTATTCTTCCTAAGACAGCCCTTGACTAGCAGGTTTGTCCTTAGTCAAAAGAGCCCCCCCAACCCACCGGCCCAGCTGGCGTGGCTCAGTAGTTGAGCGTCGACCTATGAACCAGAAGGTCAGGGTTCAATTCCCAGTCAGAGCTCGGTCAGGTTGCAGGCTTGATCCCCAGTAGGGGGCATGCAGGAGGCAGCCAATCAATGGTTCTCTCTCATCATTGATGGTTCTATCTCTTTCCCTCTCCCTCTCTGAAATCAATAAAAAAATATTTAAAAAAAAAAAAAGAGATGCTCAACCTATCTTTTGTACTGCCTGTGGATAATAACATGAAGATTGTTTTTAAAAATGAATAGAATGTGTGAATTTGGTAGGACAATCAGGGTTTTTTTCTCTCTAAAATGTATTTTTTAAACAATATAGTTAGAATATTCTTTGATGTAGACATATTTTTTTTCTAACTGCAGGGTGAAATGGTGAAGCAAACAGTTTATGCACAAATGATGGTATACTTACGCAGTCATTAAGAAGTTTGTATAAAATCTATAATACAGTGGGGCCTTGACTTACGAGTTTAATTTGTTAAGGAGCTCGTTAACTCAAATTACTCTGTCAACTCAATGCAAAAAAATCTGCCGAGAGACAGCTGGTATCTCAAAAAACTGGTTAGTTGGGACACTCGTAAGTCAAGGCCCCACTGTAATAAGAGCATAATATGCTAATTAGAGCCAACATCCTTCCGGACAACCTTCTGGACGAAGCCGAGGTTGCGAGGGAAGCCCAGGTCCCGGTGCCAGAGGGAAGCCGGTGCCAGCAGCCGGGGAAGGGAAGGCCTACTCTTGCACGAATTTTGTGCATCGGGCCTCTAGTTTTTAATAAGGGAAAATGTTTAAGATGTAAAATTTGTACAAATATCACATGATTTCAACTATGTAAAGATATAATGCACACTAAAACAGTTTCATATAAGGTGCTATCTCTCTAAGTGATGGGACACGAGGCAGCCTCCATTTCTTTCTCTCTTCTTTAAACTATAGTTCAGACAAATGTTAGTTTTCATTAGGGAGAAAAGCAACGTTACTTTTTATGTCACTTTGCAAAATATAGAGTGGTGTAGAAAGAATCCCAAGATAGACTAACTCTCTTACCCAAATTGCATATTCCTTTTTCCAGCTGGTACCCAATGGGGCATCTGCAGGTGAAGGATCCCTGAGTATTGTTGCACACGGCCAGGGGTGGGCAGGGGTTGGAGAGGCACTCATTCACATCTGCAGAGGACAGAACACAGGCCACACTGAATCCGTATCAGACAGCAAAACCATAACCCAGCACAGTAAGCGCGGATTAAGGGCCCAATGGCACGAGGTGTAGTGGGGCCCCAGTAGGACACTCCCCTTATTCCCAAGGGGCTACCAGCCTATTAAGGGTGGAGGCAGCCATGCAGACAGCTAACTGTAAACACAGGCAGGATTTGCAAGTACAGAAAATTAGCAGATTTTAATGGAGGGGAGAATTAAGACTGTTTCTATCTGTAATAGCGTCAACAATAAAAAAGAAAAAAAAAGACTGTTTCAAATGATATCTGGACTAAGACTAGAAGAACTTTAATAAGCAGGTGGAGATGGGTGGTGGTGGGGGGGTGGGGTTCTAGGCTGAGGCACCAGCACAGTGGAGGCCAGAAGAGCAAAGCGCAGGGGTGTTTGGGGAGCCGTGCAGGGCCCAGTGTGGCAGGAGTGTAGGGAGCCCACAAAATGAGGCCAGATCGTGGAGACCTGCCAGCCTCGCTGTCCGACATTATTCTGTGGACGACAACGAGAGTGTTAACCTCAAGTCAGCAGGGCATCAATTTAAAAATCTTACTCCCCTGCATTTGGAGAAAAAACGAGCCTGCTGCCTCCCGATGTGCTATTGCACTGTACACCCCGGAGATGGCTTTTCCTCTTACCCACACTGCAGTCCTTCCCTTGCCAGGAAGGTGAGCACACGCATCGATAGCCACGGCGGGCGGGGTCCACAACGCATTTCCCATCGTGGAGGCAAGGGTTAGGGGCGCAGCTGTTCACTAAAACACATTCCAGGAATAAAGCAGTTAACCGCACAGCAAATGTAAAGGCAGCGCTCGGTAAATATTTAATCCTGGCTAATATTTGATCCTCACTTATTTCTGTTTACTTGCCCTGAAAGGCCACAGTACGAACACGGAGTGGGTTCCCGAGAGGGGCGACTGAGACGCGGTGGGCCTGGGTTCCGGCGCTCGCTGGTGGGCAGACAGGGCACCGGACAACTGGACCCTGGGCGCAAGAACCGGTTCACATGCTGCTCACGGGTCACTCCGCTCAGGAGGGACGATTACTCTGCCTCTGTGATACTTGGAAAATTCTACTGGAACTAATGTCCATTTAAAACACATATTAAGGGGAAAAGGATCCCTGGTCACCCATCCTCCTGCAGCAAGATTTCCCTGTATCCGAAAACCTCACAATGCAATAATATGTGGGCCTCCACGTGCTGTGCCCTCACTCAGAAAACCGACTGGAGGTGAGCATGACCGTGCCAGCTCTTTGCGTAATGTCACAACGAGCCCTGTAGGGTTCATCTGGACCCAGTGATGCTCTGGCTTCAAGGTCACCTTGGACTCCCAGCTCCCAAGGGCAGTGGCCACAGCTCTGTGCTTCGGTCTGTGTAACCTGCATAGTCATGCTCCCTAGTCAAGGTTTCTGACATATACGTAGAAAAGCCGGATCCCACAAAATAACTGCATCGTCTCCAAGGAGAGAATCGGTGGTAGGATGAGAAAAAGAAGGTGGAAGTCAAGGTCTCTAACTCCAAAAGAGCAACCCCGAAAACCGATGGGCTCACCCTAAAGATGGTGCTCCTGCGCCTTGCGGCTGCTCTAATAGACCTGAAACCACCCGACTAAGCTCAGCAGCGACCAGCAAGCACTGAGCCCATGGGTCCTGCTGCAGAATGCACATCACCAGCCAGCAGTGACGCTAACTCCCACCCACAGTTGCCACTGCAATGGCCACAATCAGCGAAGGGAGACGGTGCGTATCTGGCTGCTGGAAACGAAGCCCTGTGAACTCTGAAGCAGGGGAAGGATCCAGCTTTCGTTTCCTAGAGCCGCTGGGATCACAGGTACAGAGGGGGCACCGAGCCTCAAGGCACCATGGGGCTGGCAGGCGGGGCATGGCCCTCCAGCCACCAGACTGCTGATGGCTGACTGGGGGGAACCCTGCCACTGACAGTCCCTGCTGTAGTCACCACAGAGCACTTCCCATCCTCTCTTTCCTTAGGGCATCATCTCCATTTCACCCCATCAGCACCGGCAGCTGGCCTTCCTGGGTCTGGACGAGCCACGTGTACAACTTTAAACAGGACACCAAAAGACAGATCGTCTTACTTCTACCTTTCCTTACATTACAAAGAGTCACGTGTGTACTAGGAACTTCAAGATAACCTCAGGCACAATGCAGTCACTATGGGGGACAGATTACCATCACCATCTTATTGAACATGCCCAACTACCCCCCCCACCCCAACACACACACATCTACCAGCCAGCAACATAATCTGAGGGACACCAAGGGGCCAGGGCTTCCCCTGGACCAAGGGAAGCCTCCCTGGTGACTGTGGAGCCACCTGCCCGGCTCAGAAGCGCGGGCTCTGATCGGGGAGCAGCCCCCGACTCACTCCATGCCTCGGCCAGGCCACCTAGAGCTTCTTGACTGTGTTCCCTCTACCCTCCTGCCCAGCATCGCGGCCGCCCCGCTCCAGGAGAGTTAAGGGCGTGCTTGGAAAGCTCTTTCTGTTACGGGACATTACAAGCGGCTGCTACACCATCTACTGATGTTGCCCAGCCAGTGGCATCCTCTCCTCCTTGTTCGGGAGGAATTACGTAACTCAGGGGTGAGAAGATTAGGTCCACGGTGACATGACTTTATGCTTTAGGTGCTTCTACAGGAAGCACGGGAGATCATCCAACACTGTAACACTGTGCTATTGCCAGCAGCAGCCACTGCCGCACACCCCCACGCACCCCCGCCCGGCACTGTGTGCCCACGTGACTGTGTGCTACCTGAGGCTGGAGACGACCTCGGGGGTGACTGCGTGCCGCTCTGAGCACGGGAGGTGGTGGCCCGGGGAGACGACACTTCGGCCGGAGAAGCGTCTGTGCTCCGGGGAGAGGGAGACGTCCTGAGGAAAGGGGGAGCCGGGCTGTCCCCTTCGGAAACCCCCGGCCCCGTGGTCAGTACTGTTGCTGATGTGGGTGCACTGGTCAGGGAGCTCCATCGGGTGGTGTCACCGACAGGCGCTCGGCTCCTTTTAGTGGTAACGACGACTTCTGTGGAGATCCGTGGCGCTGGCATTTCAGGGCTGGTCGGCAAGAACCGTTTCCCAGCCGTGGTCTGCGCTGCGGCGGGGCCAGCCAGCGGAGTGGCTGTGCTTGACGAGGGGCCGGGCGTGGGCACGGGGGGAGGGGGCGTCTTGGGAGTGGTGGCTGTCCACGCTGGCGGTGTCCGGGCCAAGCGGGTGCTTGTGGCTGGGAGGGGTGGGT